AAACATGAGAAAGCAATTGAAAGAAAGAAACAAAAAGTGGGGGAGTTTGTACAAAACCATCATTTTGACGTGCATAAAGAAACACGAGTCAAAAGTTGTGCATCAAAAAAAATTTAGGGGCTGCCCTGGAACAATTCCATCTCGGCTTTTAAATGAAGCGGAGCTCAAATAAATTGTCAAAGAGCTGGAATTGTTTGCTATGTGTGGTCAGTGACCCACTACCACAACTACATGTTTGGGGCACCGTTCAAAATAATCACTGATCAGAAAGCGCTCTTAACTTGTCTATAAGAAGATAAAAACTCTAAAACAACTCAAACAAGACTAAGTCGATGGGATGACCAGTTACTTTCGTTCGATTATGAAATATAACATATCCCAGTTAAGAAATAGGGATTTGTCGCCATCCAGTAGGAAAGGCCGCGAATGTTCCAGAAATGGATAATACTTTTGTCGTTCCGCATATTAATGCAATTAATCGCCTAATTTCACCGACGGCAAAGGAAGGCGGCAAATTCAGTTAACTGGCAAATGACGCCATGTAAAAAACAAAGTCTGAACAAGAATTACGTGATCGGAAAGAATGCGCTGCCAAGAAACCTATTGATGCGTTCAAAAAGTTTCACTTAACAGAGTTTGTGTTAGAAACCACTACCGAGGAGAAGACTGTAACAATTGCCAAATGATTAATCCGTTGGAGATGGCAGATTATTCATAGCTGACTAACGTTGATAACCGGGTTCAGAAACCAGGGAATTCCTCTATTACTAATCACGGCGCAAAAACTCTCCGCGACAGCTAACGGTTGATTCTGCTTTATCAGCTAACAGATAAAATGTTGATTCTACCACAGTTAAGATCTCCTATGATGGCTCACTTACACCGAGGCCACGCAGGGCTCTTCAAAATGCGGAACGTCGCAAATAGCTACTTCTGGTGGCCGCACATGGATTTTCAGGTTCACTTAACCGCGGTGAATTGCAAAGAAAGCGTTAAATCCGGTAAGAATTTAAAGTCTGTAATACCTAGTATCGAGTTAGTGTCCTTGGATCCAATGGAAGAGCCTAATCAAGAAATCCAAGTCCTTGGGGCCATTGTATTCAACCTGGGATGTGAAAAAAGACCTACTGATTTGCATTGATTGGTTTTATAAATTTCCTTCAATTCAATAGTGTTGTCTTCAGCTAGTCCTGTAGAAATGTCTTCAGCCCAGGAGGGCGGAGACGACACAGAGAAGAACGAAAACAACGATTCGCAGCAAATGGATACTCAGTAGCCGCACCCTACTGGCGATGAGTTGTCATCGCCGAGGGCCACGCCAATGAAAATTAACGAGGAAGGAGTGGGAACACCACCACAGAAGAGTCTGGGATCCTCCCGCGATCTAGGACGATTAGCCGCCATAATACATGGCCACAGAGGGAAAGAAGGCCGCCGAAATTTTCGGTGGACAGATTATTTACAAGTGCAATTACCGGCTGATCAACTCATGTGATTGGTGTTGGTACGACTGATAATGCATCTGATGAAAAACAGGGAAACACACCGAAGGCTTCATCAAGCGCTCTGGCGAGGATAGTGAACAGGTTCAGTGGAAGATGTAACTCCAACATTAGGAGCGGTGTGGGGGACAGGGCCAAAACTCCAGTCACACAGACTTCTCCGGAGAAGATCCCGATTCCAAAACGAAGAAGTGCAGAAGATACGTATTTCGATCGAGGTATGTGTCGTTTTTACTGGGGGCAGGACTAAGTTCAAGTTGATGTACCGTGTCTGGGCACTTTGGTCCCGTGTTGGACAAGCATCGCCGAATCGCTAAGGATACGTCGGGGGTCCTATCAGCTAATCAGCTACGGATTTGGCGGGAAAGGTCATAGAAAATTTTCGTTTGCAATCCTTTTGCCAAGGGCTGAATCCGCAATAGCCGAAGGAATCTCAACTAGGTAAATTAGTAGACGTTGCAAAAGCCGAAATACGTAGGACGCGTATTGCGATAGACCAGGCGGGTAGAGATTTGTTACTACGCATTGGAAGGGATGACAGCAGTCCAACGATAACAACGGTTCGAGGAGTTGACATTAGCACACCGATAAGTTCGGATAAACAAGGGGAGCTGCCCCAATTGGAGACGCCGAACGAGGCGGTGGATCCTAAGGTGACCCAGCTGGAGGAAAATGGAGCTCAACGGGAGGAGCATACGCGGTGTATGCCAGTGGTAGACAAGAATTTCGTCACTAAGGAGAGTGAGCCGGCGGCAATGGTGCACCGCACGGCTGATTTCATCAACGTTAGCGGCGATTCAAGCGATCCCTTTGCGACAGATGATCTGGACATTGCGGACGAATTGTTCTCGATTAGCATGACAGAGGACGATCATCGTCAAACTTAGGAAGAACTTGAAAACTTGGGACTTCGCAAATCAGGTAGAAGAGATAAGTAGTTATAACCAACCGTTATACAGTCACTCTGACAAACTAAAATAGTTTAAAGTTTTTGTGGTCAGATAGATGCAGTATATATTAGATTCTGTTATTGACATTGAATTGTTCCGAAGGGGGAATATGATGTGGAGGTCAAAGTACGTGCGTATTATAATAGTATTGTTCGCTTATATTATGTAACGTCATGACCGTCAATGTAACGTTATAGTGAACGTGAAGTGGACGTACTGCCAGTGGCTGGCGTAACCATATTAAATTAAAATTGATTCTTTTACGTTTTAAACCTCTATCTAAGTATATGAAGTACTGATCAGGCATAGTTGCACAAGCACCAACAAATAATAGCCATTAGGCGCGGATCTAGGAATTTCTCAAGTGAATTTCTCAAATAATTTTGGGACCCAAGTCCCAAGATTTGTCGCCCATTTTTTTTTTTTAGGTCGAGCTAATTAATTTTCTGAGCTCTCCTAAACGAGTATAAAACCGTAGGACCGTAGTTTAACCATATTTTGTGCGCCTCAGTCAATATTTTGAAAAAAGGCGTTTTTAGGCATTTTTTGGAAAATTTCGACAAGAAAATCGCGTTTTTTTGACGCGTGCTCCCCCTCAAAATTAGTATAGATTGGCGCCAAAGGCGCTGTTAGAAAAATTTTAAGTCCAATCAGCCAAAAATTGTTTTTATCAAAATAGAACAAAGGGGGACATTGAGAAGATGCGTCAGTATCCCTTCTCGCCCCCCAAATCCGCTACTGATTTTGTTATTGAGACAACAAAAAATAAACGAAGATTGAGAAATCAAATTGAATTTTGATTTTCCTAATTAGAGAAAATAGAACAAAAGTTGTTTAAATTGTCTGTTTTTCAAAGTAGACTTGTTGTTTTTAGGGCTCAGAAAACCAATTTGATCGACCTAAAAAAAAGGTTGACAAAATTATCGATTTTTTTTGAAAATCTGCTGCCCTCGAGAAAATCTTTGATCCGCCTCTGCGTGAGCTGCTTTTAGTTTTTAGATTTTGATTTCGTTTTTGAATTTTGAGCGCTTAATTTTTTTCTTGAGTTTAGAATACAATCTAGAATATCCGGAATAGAATCTAGAATTTTTTGTTGCCAGCTGATTAATGACATTTTGGTCATTTCTCATTTGAAGCGATTGTGTTGTTCAATCATGTTGCCCTCTTGTAAATTACGAAAACATATTAATCTTAGTCCACCAATTTTGAAACGCAGCGGGCTCTCGTGAAACCATAAACCTTAAAAGCTTCAATAGCAAAATATGTGGATGACTCTGATTATCAACTCTCTGGATTTCGAAATTTAAACAAAACACGTCCAAATTATTTTTCCTTGCACTTAACTAGAACAATTTCCCTAAAATTGGAAGAGGCTCATCTGGGATACAAGTGGGGCTAATTTCCCATATTTTCTCTACTGAATTCGATAACATCCGAAGTAACAGATTTGGACAAAAACGGCGACTTTCATTTTTTGAGATGTTCTGCAACAGGTCGTTATTTTTACGCAGAGAGTTGGAAGAGCAGACGTTGAACTTCTTGTTTGAGAGATCAGATGTATGATAGGAGTTTTATTGCTGAGTTTAATCTGCTAGGAGAGAAGCATAGGTTATCTCTTACTTTTCGAAAATGTTTGAAAAGAATCTACCCCAACAAAATAGTACTTAAATTGACCGTGCACATAGAAAAAAAATCCCTTAGGAAGTGTTTTAAACACAAAAACTCATCCTTATTGACATACTCGAACAGTTATCATTTATTTTTAAAAGAAAGTCTAAGAATGCAAAAGTTTCCTGAGAAAGCAATTGTGGTTGGCGGAAAATAATATGGATTTGTATGTTAGAGGCGAAAGTTAGCTAGTTTTCAATGTGGATTGCGTCCTTGTCTCTGAGTCAAAAAAATATGTTTGGCCAATATGGATTCAGGTTTGTACTCAACTCCCAAAATTAAGATCAGTTTTTCAAACATGTATTTTCTTGATGCATGGCACAGAGTGAACAAGCACAATTGATTTTATCTACGCTGTAAATTGAGATAGAGTCACTCTGTAACAGCAATTTAATATACCAGATATACCAAGTTGGCTCTCCATAACTTCCAGTAGTAAAAAGACGTCTGTTTTTTTTTCGGCGGTCATGAGTCTCTGTGGCAGCTACAAATAACTTCTCAGAAGGAATTGGGATGCCGCAAATGCACTGCGTCTACAGTTGAAGCAGAACAATATTGTTTTTTTTCTTCTTTCTATGTAACTTGGTTTTTGATACTTTCCATGATAATAACTCTGACAGTTTTGAGATTTTTGCCAATATTAAGACTTTTCTTGCAGTAAAAGCAAACTTTTTTCATATTTGGCATTTCTTAATCAACAGGTTTATGAAAACAGCAAGCCTGAAAAATGTTCAATCTCATTGGAGTAAAAAATGGAACAACTTTCACAAAAAATAGGGCAATGCTTAAGATCCAGAAAAAAAACCTCCGCTAAATTATCTTGAACAAAAAAGGTATCGCTTCACAAAGTTTGCTGTTTTTAATTTAAAAAAGCACAGAAACGATAATCAGATAATTAGGGAAACATCGACTTAGGTGGCATTCTTCAAAAACTATTACCTGTACATTAAAATACTGAAGTTTTTCTGAGTTTTGGGAAACTGCACAAAATAATGGATCGTATTAAACATAAGACACGGAAATTATAATGTTATTTCCGCCATTTCTTGTGATGAAAGACATACCAGATTTAATATAATCATTTTCCTAGCTCAGTTTATTTCAGTTTAATTTATAAAGAAAATAAGTTTTTCGTAGCACATTTGACATTTGATAAAAACAAAATAGCTGATAACTTTCGCGTTGAAAAACTCTTTATGTCGTTGAAGATTCAGAAAGGGAATGAAAATTTTAAAGTTTCATTAGCAAAAGGAAAAAATATAGATTGTAACTGGTTCCTGGACAAGACTCGGACCCTTGGCCTCAGACTTCGTCGTCGTTCACTTCACCAGCATAGTCGTCTTGTTCAGTCGATATTCCGTTGGCCTGAGCCAGTTTAGTAAGTGCCACCATCATTTTCTCCTGGTCATTTCGCATCTCTCTCAGCCCCTTCTCCAAGCTCTTCACTGTCTGCAGAATTCTCTGTTGCTTCAACTCAACTTCTTCAATCGGTTCCTGCAAAACGATGCAAACAACTCCGGACTTCTTGGAATGCAAATTCAGATCTTGCAAGAAAAATTATTCTTCTTGCTTTTTTTTTTGAAATCAACAAGATTTGCGTTCCATTTGCAAGAAAAAAGTAAGATTTTTGTTCCAATTGCAGGAAAAAATCAAGTGAAGAAGAAACTCCGCAAAATCTCACTGCAGAGATTGCTGGATTGAGTTCCCCTCAGGAGAACGAAACATAAGATACGTACTTGCCCGAGACGTACTTGAACTTAGCTGGACAGTGAATGGGCTCAAATAGCATCAATTCTAAAATTATTTGGTGTTTTTTTTTCAAGTATTTTTACCCTTCGAGCAGTGAGGTTCTGGATGACAGCGGGTCCGTCCAGTTTGTTCGGAAACATTCTGTTCCACATTTTATTTCTTCCCAAATTAGGGTAGTACTTCTGCTCCCTCACCACGAAACGCCTTCTAAGCCACTCTGGAATGGTTTGTTCCACCTCCAATGCCATGTTCACCTGTTCAAACGGATACTTTAACAGTGGTTATTTTCCAGTTCCAGCTTCACGCTAAACAAATTATTCACCGTTTTGCTCAAGTTTGCCCAACAAAATAATTCAATCTGCAACATCAGGGGATCTCGGTACTATTTTCCTCTTTTTGCAAATTCAAATTTGAGGGGGATTCATATTTGAGCTCCAGATAACATTTTTATTCAGAGGTAAAAAAAATGTTCATCAAAAACGCTAAGTTAAGTAAGTGCCATTTCTTAACTTAGTCGATGAAAACGGCGAAGAAGGAGAGCGGATATGCGCCAGATGCCCGCTTTTTCTTCGAATTTGTAATATTGTTTGATTTTTTTAAGATAAGTTCCATTTCACCTGCATGGCCATTCTCTGCAATGATGCGTTTTCCTGTACTGCTTTGATGTCGTCTACTGCGAGACCGACCTAAACAATCTCGACTTAAAACTGAAAAATGAAGTCCATGCAAACCAATTTGACAGGCACAAACTTTTGAACCAAAAAATTTTAAAACTCCACAACAGAACTCAGTAAAAGAATTAACCTTATTTGAATTAAAAATTTAATCGATCAATAACAGAGGGAAATTAGTTAAGGAATATTGGGTGGGCAAACACTGGAGGAGTTTCTGATGACTCTGAGTCAAAAGGTCTGTGGTTTCAGGCCCAAAAAGATGTGCTTGGCGTTTGAAGCTGAGGCTATTGTTCGCAGCCCAAAAACAAGCGGAAACATTACAAGTAATTCGTAATCACGGGCAAAGTTATGGGCAAACCCGAAGCACAAGCTTGGCCAATTTTGAAAAAAATTTTAAAAATTTTTGACCTTGTGTACTATTTTCTTTCCCCCTATTTTAAAAAGGACAGAAGTAGTTTGTCATTTGGGACAAAAACTATGTATACTTAACCGTTGAGTTAGTCGTTTTAAATATATATTCCTTTATATGGCTGAGTTTTTTTACTAGAAGCAACACACTGGGGGTAATTTGGTGATTATTAGTGTGAACAACTTTCAAAATTTTGTGAAAAGTCTTCAATTTCTCGAATTATCAGCTGAACTGATAAATTCAACCTTTTTGCTTGCTATCGCGTTCTAAGTCCAGCACTGATAAAATTAAATTTGAACATTGAAATAATTGTTTGAAAGTTTTTATCTGCTGAATCAACAATCGGCCGCGTGGTACTTTATGTAGAGTTCATGTTTCATACCAGTAAGTTCATTGTGATGATGCTCATGACGACGATGAAGACGGCGAAGAAGGAGAGAGCGGATATGCGCCAGATGCCCTTTATGTCGACGTCGCCAAAGAAGAAAGTATCCGTGTAGTCGAACTCTCCGATCATCATCACCATTGTACGCAGAATTGCATACAACACAGTACTGAAGTCCTCCTAATTATGACACGAAGTTTGACTTTTTCACGTTACTTTATATTGAGATAAATTAATAAAACGTTGGCGTTGGTTGCCGCAAATGGATGTCGGAAAACAAAACCAAATAATACCACTCACCACAGAAGTTTTAATCATGCATTATAATGTTAATAATTTTCGAAACAAAAAAAAAACATTTTAGTCGATTTTAATTGTTTATAATCGATTATTTTTTGAAACTTTTTTTGTGAAATTTTTTATTGAATTATAATGCAGTTTAATCAATTATAATCCATTATTAATGAACCAACGTCATCGCTTCATTTCGTTTTACTTTTATTTTGTTCTGTGTGCTTTTCAGTTGGTATCTTTTTTTATTGCTTACTGTTTACTTTCTTACTGTTTACTGTTGGCTGCAGGGGCAAATGACTGCAGGGGGTGGGGGTGTTGGCGGACGCCCCCTCTGAGGGATTCAAACCCCTGCCGACCCAAAAGGTCCCCTCAATTTACTGTTTTGAGATATCCATTTTTGGCTGACTCTCCCTAAAAGAAGGGGAACTACGGGCCGAAAAACGAAATTTTTGAGCCAAAATTTTCAAAAAAGTTCCAAAAAACGGCTTTAGTTTGACTGTTTTTTCAAACTTTTGCCGTTCAAGATGGCGTCCTTAAAGAGCTTAGGAGGTTTCGGAAATCAGACTTTTGAAGATCCGCTCCCCCCCCCCCCCCCCCTCGCGAAAATCGCCCCTGGTTTACTGATTTCTTACTTCTTACAGGTTTTTACTGTGTTTTCATGCAGACTAGCTAAAACAGAAACCATTATATTTGTTTTTTCATGATAGAAAAAGGGATAATAGTCTATTATAATAGACTATATTATATTAAAAGAGATTATAAGAGATTTTCGGAAAAATTATAACCAATTATAATTGAATATAATTTATTAAAATGTCATCAAAAATGTTATCATTACAATGGCTTATAAATCGTTTAAGCATCTCAAATTGGCGCTTATGATTAATTATAATTTTGCTAAAAGTACAATTATAATGGTAATATAATCGAATAAGTGAAAAGACAGCAAACCTGATTCTGGAGAAGGCAGTAGAAGCCCATTGCGAATGCGACGATGAATAAAATGAAGACGGCGAAGAACATGAGGAATGTCTGCAGCACATCTGTGAACATGACGACGTAGATGCCGAACTTGGGGAACTTCTGGATGAAGAGGATGAGGTTGATCCAGGCCAGGAACAGGCTAACAGCCCCACATTGCCACATCACCGACTGAATAACACAAAATTCTTCACTCTATTCAACCAGGGAACAACAGTGGTTCTCCGAGATGAACTGAACAGCTCGTATGAAGGATCTTTCCGTTGTGGATTAATGGTGTTAGTATTTATTTATTCACGAAGGTAATGACCAACTTAAGAACTGCTCCTTGTGGTGAGCCAACAAGCCGAATTTAAAGTTACCATTCAAACAAGCTAAAAATTGACAAAGCTTAGGCAACATAACAACATATTGTCACTGTTGTTATGTAATTCTTACGTAATTCTGATGTAAGTGCGCCTTCAAGATATGGAGATTTGTTGAATTGTTCACCTCTTTAAGATGAACCGCTGTTGAGTACTTTAATTAAACTTGCAAACATTTTTTGACGCAATCCCAGCAAGGGTTTAACATGGTCTTTCAACTGGCCAGATCTGGCTCCAGGGATGGACTTCCGCGCTCAGGTATCCCGTGTGGTTTACGTGCCCGGATCATGGGCCTATAACCACTAACTTGTCGGAGGTTAAAAGGCCGAGCCCCGCTCGCCGGTTTCAAATGAATTGTCAGGCCGGCTACCCCTTGTTTAGCAGCAGTCTGTCAAAAGTGGATCCCAGAATTTAAGGACAAACTTAGCCCTATGTCTCACTTTTCCAAAAGTTTATAAGAACTATTTGCTTGAAGCTTCAGCTTTCTTCCCCTGTCAAGAGGCGACCTTCGGTACCTCACTCTATTCTGTTTACTTATTTATATCTTATATAACTATGTCTTATTATCTATTCATTATAGTGCAGTAACTGACTCAAGGACAAATCTCACCAGCCTAATCGCTTGTCACTTGAGAATGTGAAACCGCCAGTTGCAAAAGCCTGAGGTGTGAAATCAAGTTAAAACACTTTGTGAATCTATTCAATTTTTATTCAATCTGGAAACATTAACTCTATATACATTATTCTATTCTATCTATTTATATATCTTATTTAACTCAGTATTCGAATTTTATAAAAAAGTTTTCCCTACACCAACTGAGGGAAATCTCATGGCGCAGCCAACAGTTCCTGGAATGAAGACAGGACTGACCTACTCGGAATACCACCCTTTTGGGCGAAAACATCGGTTAACCCACCTTTCATTTGGGAGACTTGGGTGGGACAGTTTTTCTTAGCCGTTAGTCTTAAAGACAATATTTCACCGGGGGAGGTGCTATTTGTCCCAGCAGAGTTGGTTGATGAACCTTGCCCGAAACCTGAAGCCCCGGGGATTGATGAAAATGCAGCAGATATAGGCAACAGGAAACTTCGAGTTGCAGCAGCTAATAGAAGGATTGACGAGTACAATCAAGAGAGGAGGAGGAAAGGACCTCGCATTGGACATAATTGGTTTTACCATGAGGCTGAGGCACGTCTGAAATCTCGACTTTTCTCCGCATTGGGAAATGAGGGAAAGAAGCGATTTTTGGATTCTTACCCTCATCTGGACCTCAATGTTCCTTCTTTGATTTTCACAAATGCTGCGAAGATCTCTTCAAGGCAGAGCGGGATTACACAGTCGAAAGAATCAAGTTGTATAATACAAAATTCATGCAGGAGAATGATTCATTTTCCTCATTCTATGCCCGACTTAGCGCTCAAACCGCGTTGTGTAATTGGCCGCTCGATCAAGAAAGGGCCACGTTGAAGGACTTATTTATTGGTCGCATTCGGGATGTGGAGGTCCAACGGCAACTAATCAAAGCGAAGGCTAATCTTGACGATACTCTGCAATTGGCGTTGGAGAATGAGAAAGGGGCCAAGACATCAGAGCAATTTCAGAAATTACTCCCGCATAACAACACTATTTCTACTAATGCCAGTTCTATTCGAGTCAAACAAGAACCGCTTTCTTCGGTGCAGCAATTTAAGAATCAAGGAAACAGTAGTCGAGGAGGAGGTTTCAATCGTTCCAATCAACGTCAAAGTCAAAATAAGCCAAGTTACTTTTGCGGTAATCCATTTTCCCTCGAACACCGTCGGTCGTGTCCGGCCAGAGAAGCTACGTGCAATACGTGTAAAAAGAAGGGTCATTTGCTAAAGTGTGTAACACTACAAAGCGACGTGTTAACATGGTGCAACATGATGAGACCCTTTCCGATCAAGAATGTAACCTAATTGACGTAAACGGTGACAGTGAACCGGAATATGGATTTATGGTGATTGATATAGTACAAATCAACAATGTAGAACTTTTGAAGGCAGCGGGAGGACAACCAAGGAGCCTCAGTAATCAACTACGTTCTGGCAACTTTTTCTTTTACGCTACGGTGTACACAGGCAGTCCTGTGTAATTTTTGAACAAGAAGACAGCGGATATAATGATGAGGCGGATTCCCAACGTTAAGTTTAAGGACGTCGGGAGATATCCATTAGGTGTTACTTATGTTGACTATAATAAAAAACCAATTAAACTGTTCGGATTGGTAGAAATTCCGATTACGTCGAAAGGATGGAAAATCGATAATGCGTGTCTTTTGGTGTCCGAAAATCGTACTCGGAATCTACTCGGACTGAGCCTTGATGAACAATTAGGAATTGAAACGGTGCAACGAGGACCAGCGGAAGTTAGCTTTGCGGAAGATGTGAAGGATTTGGATCCGACTTCTCAGTTCTGGAAGGATCATGTTGTCATAAGGTACCCTAATGTGTTCAGCAGGCTGGGGAGGTCGAAAAACCATAAAGTATTCACTAATTTCAAAGATCCTTTGATACCTAGGCAAGTTAAAGGCCGAAAAGTCCTTATCCATTTACAAGATCGAGTCACGGCTGAGATTAAAAAGTTAATCAAAGACAAACATTTAGAAAAATTAGAAAAGTGTACTACGGATCATTTTATCGCGCCTATAGTGTTAACTGCAAAGAAAGACGGGTCAATAAAACTTGCACTTAATGCTAAACCAATGAATGCTCAAATCTCGCAAAACAAATACCAAATGCCTAATATGCATAAATTGATTGACTCGGCGGCTCAAATCATTACTAGAGACACACCTGGGAAAGTGTGGTTCAATTCTCTTGACCTTAAATATGCTTTTAGTCAAATACCTTTATCGAATCTAACCAGTAGTCATTGTAACTTTAGTATTTTGTGTGGAGAAGCAACAGGCACATATCGATTCAAGACTGGTTTCTACGGATTGACGGATATGCCCACAGAATCCAAAAAAGCGATGGACTGTACGTTACAAGGATTAGAAGGTGTTATCTGTTACCTTGATGATATACTGGTTGTAACTAAAGGAAAAGTTGAAGATCATAACACACTATTCGAAAAAGTCATGGATCGATTGAACGAGGAAGGATGGGCATTGAAACTTAGCAAATGTGAATTCTCAATTAACAAGTTAGTCTGCTTAAGGTACAAAATCGATGAAAACAGTTACGCCCCGAAATTCTCGAAAAAAGAGGCTATCAAATCACTGATGCGACTGAAAACTCTTAAGCAATTAAGATCATTTATGAGGACTCTCAACCATCTTCAACGTTTCATTCCGGATTTGCATAAGTATACAGTTGCGTTCAGAGCATCCTTAAAACCGGAGAATAAGAAATCGTTTTTGTGGCGCCATACCCGAGCAATTACGGAGTGCCATTCTGGCTCGACTTCACCGTTCGCATCCTGTACAGGCGGCTATGATGGACGCTTCGGAATACGTATGGTGCCATTCCCATTCCTCAATCGCCAGATAGTTAATGTCTGTGAAAAGGGCCGGAGTGTACCTTTTTTGGTAAGAATATCAAAACTTCAACGATTTATAACTCTGCTCAGGCACTACCACCGTTGTCAGCTCCGAATCAAGAATTACAACTTGATTTTGCGTGTCCGTTAATAGATGATAAGAAGGGAACAATCTATATTTTAGTTGCAATAGATCGTTTTTCTAAATACCCGTCGGTGATGTTAACTAAGACCACAAGTGCGAAAAAAATAGTCAAATTTTTCCGATCGTACATTTGTAATCATTGTATACCGGAAAGCATTAGGACAGATCACGGCTCTGGGTTCAACTCTGAAGTTGTTAAAGAATTTTGCTAAAGTAGAGGTATAAAACATATCCTCACAGTGGTGGGGGATCATCGAAATTGTGGGCTGGTTGAACGGTCGATTCAGACCATTAAATGAAAGTTGGGAACAGAGAAATTAGATCCTAATTTTAAAAACTTGAAGTCGATTTTACAACAAATCATTGACGATATTCGGAAAACCAAACATTCTACGTTAAAAATGTCTCCTTTTGAGTTACATTATGGGATAAAGCCTAAAACTGAGTTTTCAATAGCGCGTGATAATGTTGTTCATTCTCCTACTTCAGCGCAAGGACTGGAGCGAAACCTCTAAACACCGGAGCAGCGTTCAAGTAAAGACTACAGCCGCGATAGGGCCAAAGTTGTACCCAGAGTAGCTTCGCACAGTCCAGACATTCCCTGTAGATTCAAGCCACTTTTTGGTGTGGGCAATCGAGTAGCGGACAGTCAGCAATACAAGGCCCTGGAGAACCTCGCTAAGGCGGCTAACGTCTGGAAACAGTGGAAACGAAATGTACCTCCGCAACAGGGACACGTGATTCTCCGCAAATTTGCCGCTCGAAATAGTGACCTTGCAAACTCGCTGAAGTCGGGGATCACAAAGGGGACACTACGCTCCTATGACAATGTTCGAGACATGTCAGCACCAGCACTCTCGCATTCTCAACGAATGAATATGCCGTCGTCATCGAGGCCAAAAAGGTCTCTCAAAAACACGTAAATTAGAAAAACTAGTTTTGCAAGATCCTCTAAGAGTCAAAATCTTTCGAAAAGTGCTTGATCGAAAATCGGGAAAACCTCTATTCAAACTAACTAAAATCAAGATTACTCGTGTTACGGACCACACTTACATTACTGAACAAAGAAAAGTATATTGGAAAAATCCCTTAAGTCTAAGATATAATTCTAACATCCCTAAATTTTCAGCTACGCCTGGCACAGTGGGAGAGAGACTCCAAAGATGGATTGCTCCTCGGCCTCAATCTCAGCCATCTACTTCTCCAGATCAGAGGCCTTCTAAGGGTAAAGTGATTGATTTGACGGCAGAGTCGTCAAGTGAGGACTTATTAATAACTGGACCACAGCTTGAGTTGGTGGAGGCACCCGGTTCCGCGCCTCAGAGATTGGCTTCAGCAGATTCAACACCACAAATTACAATTGCTCAACCGCCGACGAACCCCAGTAGGACTTCATCAACAGGAGTTTTAGCAACGCCTCTTGATTCGTCCACCCAATCAAAGCCGCAGACGTCAGGGGATGATTCACATGCTATCGTTCAGGATGCAGCAACTACAGATCCTGCGGAGGCTACTGATCAAGCTAAGACTGACTCTACCCGATCCTCCGGACGGTCAAAGAAACCAACGAGGTTTTTAAGTGATCCCCTTCGTCATTCGGTTAAGAATGTCACGGAATCCGTGCCCATCGAGTCTTTGCCCCAATTACCAGTCCGCGAGCAGACGCATACTACACCATTCATCCCAATTGTTCGAAAAGGAGCCTAGTTGCCTTTCCCGAGGACTAAAGAACAAACTACCCCGTTGAAAAGAATCAGAATTCAAGAACATGAGAATAATCCTTAAACTCAAAACTTGCGTAAAACCTTGTGTCAAACTTTGTTCTATTTTGTTTTCTGGTTCGTTTGGGCCAATCCTCAACGAGTGCAATAGTGTCTAATCATTATATCCCATACTGTCAAAAATTTATACTTTGATAAATTTTCCACAAGATGGGGCAATGTAATGAGGCGACCTTCGGTACCTCACTCTATTCTATTTACTTATGTATATCTTATATAACTATGTCTTATTATCTATTCATTATAGTGCAGTAATTGACTCAAGGACAAATCTCACCAGCCTTATTGTTTGTCACTTGAGAATGTGAAACCGCCAGTTGCGAAAGCCTGAGGTGTGAAATCAAGTTAAAACATTTTGTGAATCTATTCAATCTTTATTCAGTCTGGAAACATTAACTCTGTATACATTATTCTATTCTATCTATTTATATATCTTATTTAATTCAGTATTCGAATTTTATAAACAAGTTTTCCCTACACCAACTGAGGGAAATCTCATCCCCTTCCTCTCACTTTTTTTCAATTTTAACTTTAACAGAATTGAACTGTCATATAGTATAATGAAATAGTGTGAGGCAAAGAAGCTACTCTGAAATAGACTATTCTCTCTCTCTGTGTTGGAGGGTTGGGAGTTCTGTTGAAGTGGTGGTAAATGCAGGGGCGGATTTAGGGCGGATTCCCCCCCCCCCCCACACATTCAGAGATTCCACCCCCCTCACAAACCAAAAGTCCCCCCTTTTGTTCATTCTTTGTATTATCCATTTTCGGCCGACCAACCTTATATTAATGTAAATTTAAGGCATTTTAAACTAACTTTGAAGGGAAGTACGGCGCAAAAAAGTTATCATATTAAGGTCTTTATAGTGTTCGTGCTAGCGCTCGGTCACATCAGTTTGATCAATCTGAAAAAAAGTCAATAACCCCCCCCCCCCCCCCCCCCCAAGAAACTCCTAGATCCGACCCTGTGTACGTGATCCAGCTAAAGCATAAGCCAGTTACCATATAAACCATCCGAAAATACTTCACTGTTACATAATATTTATGTAAATTTTAAGTAACAGTTTCAAAAGTTATGCGACTTTCATTTGTATGACATAATGTTAAGTCTGGTTTATCAACTCTGTGCGTTTTTGGTTGGCTTATATTTCCTCTCGTGTGTGATTTACACTCAGTTGATAGTTAACCTCTAAGTCTTTGTTGATGTCGTCGCCTATTCCAATCTGGAATATGTTGGGCATGGTGACAACAAGAGACAACAGGTAGACAAGCCATTCGAGGAAGTTCACGATCTGCTTAACATAAGCCCATCGTTTGTTAATCAACTGAAACACCTAAAACACAAGCAGGCCCATGTAAACATTCCCCCCTGATTAGGCCAACTAAACAATCCCCCTTAAAACTCCTCCTGATGATTAATTCAAGCATTCAGGACTGCATGTGCAATGCTCAAATCTAATTGGCTTAAAAACATTACTTTTAACCAAGTGAACGATCTTCTAAAACCCAATTGGTGGATCAGTCTTTTTCCTTTTTGCACCCACCCGAAGATATCTACTTTAATTTTTTTGTTCGCATTGTCCTATTATTATGAAAATTGGCGTGCGACTAATTAGGCTCTGACAAGTTTATTTAATCTCCAAACTTAACCCAGTAAAACCACTAGTTACACTATTAAATTGAAGCTTAGGTAAGAATTTTTAAGAAACGAATTTCTTAAATTTTTTTAAGCACGACAAAATCAGCTTACCAAAATTTCCACAAACAAAATAAATGGACCGTTTTAAAGAACCTGATGAGCTTTAAAGGATAAGGATCATTTTAATTCCTAACTTAAAAGATTACCTTTAAAACATAAAACAATTTCATGCAAGGTTTGGCCACGATATCATATTCGTAGAAACAGAGACAATGAAAAAATAACCGGTATAACTTTAAATCTCTTCAACTCTCTAACTATATACCCCCCTTCTGACCCACCTGTGTCATCTATTAATGAACCCCATATTTTCTATATTTCTTTATGGACTAAGTTAGTGCTAGAGCCTATTCTAATTTTGTGCCTGCCAACGAACTCCTCCCTTTTCAACACTGGCGGTTGTTTTAGGAGATCCGTTTTTTTAAATATCAGAACTTTTCAGCGGTATAACTGCGTATATAACTTTTTAATGTTCAGTGTGATGTAATCCAATTTAACCTTTTACTATCAACTTCAACATTGCTTAAGTTGACGACATATTTCTAGAAACCGAGAAAACGACTTCTACAATTTTTACCTCTCTTATGTTTTTGTTTTTTTTTTTATTAAAAAAAAGTTTGTTTTTGTTTACCTCTCTGGCGAGGTTGAAGAGGGCGGACGCGATAACCAGCCACTTGCCGATTCCGTTGAAAAACTTGAACGCCCAGTGGTTTGTCCTCGAGTAGGGACTCTCAATGTACGCCTCAAGAGTAGTTCCGTTGAACTCACCTGCAAACAAAATTAGGCTCTTTTGTAGTATACGGCCCAAAATTCAAGATTTCCATCCAAATTTCCATAGAGCATCAAAATTTCCGTTGAGTTTCTGTTTTGTTTTGAAAGCCCAGTTTTCATTTCGCTGGAACTTATTCCAACCAACCAGATTCAAACACTATGATCATACCTTCAAAATTACAAAAAATCAAAAAAGAACCCAAAATTTAAGAAATTAAAGCGCGCATTGAAATTGCCGATTCTAAAATTGACCCGAAAGGCTGATTAGTTTGCTCTCTCAAACGTTTGAGCTGAAAAACATGTGTTCATTTTTTTCTAAGTTAATCGGCTGCTCATATTTCTGCTGCGCTTGGAACGCCCATGAAAGTAATCGATTATACTGTCATTTTATAATCAGTCTCCTTGACGTTACAAAAAAAATTGATTGCAATCCTTTATAAACGTTTTTAATGTTTATATTTTAGTCCAATATAATTTTTTCAAAAATCCTATCGTTTGCTGTTCAGCTTTTTGCTTTATTTATTTTACGTTTCCTTGCTAGTAAGTCCACATTATATTTTAATTTTTTATTGAGGGTTGTTTGAGCGGATGAATCTTAAAATCAATTGTAGACATATCATAGAGTTTCTTGCAAAATTTCAGAAAAATGTTTCAAAACTAACCAATTGTAGGCTTGAAAGTAAAATGATTTGAAGTTGGTTTATGGTCGTTTACGTTTGAATATTTTGACAAAAATTGGTTTCAATGCCAAACATAATGAATTATGATCAATTAAAATGGATAATAAGAGATTTTTGTTTTCAAAAACTATTGATTATAATGATCATATATTAAATTGTGTGGCCTGAATTTTTCATCCTCAATAAATTATATAGGTTCAGTTTTGTCTTATAAATGCAGTATAATTGATCACATTCTATTTTAATTTGGTGCGGTTAGAATAGTGTTCGAATTTTTAACAGTTAGATATTTTTTAAAAACTTGAAAACTGATGAAATGTCAAAACAATACACTGGAACATCTCTTGTTTAACTGTTATGTAATTCCATTCACGCTGTTTAGAAGACTATTTGATTAAGTGGTTTATTAAGCATTAAGCTTATAGCAATAGATTAGTACGTCTAAATAGCCTTTCCTCCAAACGGCTTATGCATCAGTTTACTCTTAAACAATTGTGAGCCGTATTAAATAGCCGCTTACGCGTGCTTTAATAGCACAAATTAAATCGCGCTAATTGTACCAAGTCGGTGGCAGTGGTAACTTTCGAACCCCTATAGCTTCACAAGCCACAATCACTGGTGAGCTATCTTTCTTCTTCAGTTTGAGCTCCAGTTGTAAATATTTTTCAGATGGTATCAAAAATTCCGTTCAGAAACTCCGTATTCAAAAAATGCATGATATAAAAAGTAAGTTGATGAAAAAGTATTTCGGGGCCCCTTAGAAAATCGAAATTTATCTGAAGAAAAAACGACAACGAGCCGAAAGCCTTTGCTTTTTTTTTCATAGACGGAAAAACATTTCAGTCAAATAAATAACTATATTTGGGGCTTGATCTTCAAAACGTAACTTATCATTTTAGCCTCAACTTCAAAACTTGAAGTAAAAAATGTCCTGAGTTTTTTTACAGAAAAAGTTGTGCAACATAAATTCTAAAAGGAAGTTTTTTTTTTTCAAAACGCTGTCAGCAGTTCTGATTCTGTGAGTTATCTATTAAACTATAAAAAAACAATTCTGAACTTTTTTGATAAACTTATAATCGAAAAAGTGAAAATTTTAGAGCAACTTAGCTTTTTGGGCTCTCATATTTTATTGGTGGTTATCAACAACAAGAAAAACTAAGATTACAATTAAATTTTTTGTAAAGGTAAGAAGGCATTGATACGAATTGTGTTTGGACTTCTAGTCACTTTTTGATTTCGATTGAGAAAAATCAGTTTTGCTTCAACACTTAAGTTTTTTTCCTTCTAACTCTAGATTAGTTTTTTTTAGTATACCACTGGTTATTGAACACTGTTTATTATGGCGGAGTCAATTGATTCGAAATAGCGGGGAATTCCCGCCTTTTGGCCAAACCACACTGTACAACCCTTTATTCAAAAGACAAATTGGATTGATCAATTCCATCTGGCAACCATTGCCAAAGAGAAATAAGACATATACAATCTTAAAGTCCCATTGGAGTCCAAAACAGAAATCCCATATCTAGACGGCGCTTATTATTCTGAAAGTGAAACACAGGGAGGGCACAAACAGAGGTAATGTGAGTATACGAAAACGCAGAGGACAAAAAAAACGCCGAAAAAAGAGGAAAAGAAGAAAAACGTAAATATCGCGGCATGAAAAGATACGAACCTGAGAAAAAAATCACATCAATTCAATACATGGGCCTAGGAGCGGAGGGGAAAAGAATTTTTAAACAGAAACATTCAAGGGTGAAAGTTTGAAATATCAACTTCAATGGTTTTTTCGATCTCTTAGTACCAGCTTTTGTGAAACCAGCGAACATAATGTTTGAACTAAACAAACTATTGAGCCCAAACAGAAAGACAGAGAGTCCTATCATCAATTTTGCATAGTACTTTCGGATTTAGCTAGAATATGCAATGTTGTAGTAAACGCAAAACAAGAATGGATGAGGAACGTGTTCATCTTTAACATGAAGAATTGCGATCTCCAAAGGACACTCTAGTTAAAAACGTTAAGTCTACTGGATGATGGATGAACTTAACCAGGCTATCATCGACAAAAATGGATATTTTAACCACGTTAAACTAACCAACATGACTACGGCTAACAATCTTCACAGCAACACCGGCATGATGTACAAAATTTTTAATTCTGTTAAAAGGGAACAAAGCCTGAACATAGAAAAATCAAACTCGTGTATGAAATGAGGAAATGCTTTTACCAAAGGTCACTCGAACGTTCGCCCGGAAAATGAAAAGGTTATGTAACACATGTAAATACACTTTGGGAGACTTTGTAAACCTGAATCGAGAAAACCGGCTTCAAATTGTGTAGACGAAACTACATAATCAGATTTGACAATATTCTTCATCAGAACCACAGTCAAGTAAAAAAGAAAAACTATGTGGGGTGATACATGTTTGTTCAGAAGAGGTATTTAGTGACTATGACGACTATTTTGTTCTGAACATAGGAACGAACTGCGATGACAACGGTTTAGAAACAAAAAAAACTGTAAAAATCGGCGACGATGCAATTGTAAAAAAGAATATTTTAATGGAATCGGCTAGCCCATTCATTTTTTTAAAACAGAAGGTTCTCCACGAGTTAAAACTAAGAGAAGCTCAGATGAAGGCTCTTTACTTCGACAAAAAAACTCCGGTACTCTATCGCGGCTTCACCAACGTTACGAAAAAAATATAATTGGCAAAATCATTGTTGGAGTACAGTCCAACGGATGGATATCAAATCAAACATTTTTTTTCATCACGTCTGGACATAAAAGGAATAACGAAAACTTACATAGAATTTGAATTGAAATCACCCAAAAACAGTGCCTCCATTCAGTCAACAAAGTTTCATTACCGGATATTTGTAAGTCAAACATTTACTCGAACACTATATTTGACCTGTACGATCAATTCAAAAGTTTTTTGAGCAGAATAATAGAAAAAACTCATATCCATACACCTTTTTAACCAATTCAAACCAAGGGTAGGAGAGTCGCATTATATTTACTAGAGAGTGTTAACTCTGAACTGAAAAGAATGGAGAAAGAAACATACATATTAAAATAAATAAACGCGATGAAGACTGTTTTATAAGCTCGATAGTGATCGCAAGAAACAAAGATGGTGCAGCAAAGGTAGCCCTTGACACTAAGTTGTTAAGCGACCAATTATTCAAAAATAAAAATCAAACACCGAGTATACGTGAAGTTATCGAGAACATCGCTTTACAGCTCTCAAACAAACAATCCGGCAAATTTTGGTTTAGTAGTCTTGATCTGACAATTGCGTACAGTCAATTATAATTATAACCCGAGCAAGCAATGTAATTTTAGCATAGTGGGTGGTAAAACCACCGGAACTCATCGTTTGATAAATGGCCTTTACGGATTGGTAACATGCCAAACGAACTCCATCAGTTATTGAGTTCGCTACTACAAAATATATTATTTATAAACTGCTAAAATGACGATAATTTAGTTGCCTTTTGAAAGGTTTGTTAGAAAATTTTTTGGGATTCCATCTTGGGGAAACTTTTGAATATTCTAAAGAGCAAAAAAATGGCATTTATATGGGAAAAGATGCCTTTTTACCAAATAATATTGAATTGTTTGGCTTCAAAATTTTTGACACACAGGCAAAACCATTGGTGGGTAAAGCTGATTTGAGAAGTCTTCCAAACTGGAAAAAATTTTCGGTTATAGGATCATTTTTTACCAAATAATATTGAATTGTTTGGCTTCAAAATTTTTGACACACAGGCAAAACCATTGGTGGGCAAAGCTGATTGAGAAGTCTTCCAAACTGGAAAAAATTTTCGGTTATAGGATCATTTTTCGGTTCCATAGACCAGTACATGAAATATGTACCAATTTTTTCAAACCTGTGTTCCCTATTACGACCGATATTGAATAAAAAATCAGTTTACCATTGGAGTGACCCTCATATTGAGTTGTTTGAGGAACAAAAAAAGCAAGTTTTCAACATAACTGAAAATAATCACAGTGATATCAAAAAGTTCTCAAAATTATAAACTAAAAATGGATTTAGAACAATTAGATGGAGAATCTTGGATAACAATTGCATTTGCATCCAAATTTTTTCACACTCATGAAAAGGAAATTTCGACAAATGAGTTAGATTTTTTTAGGAGTGTTCTGGGCAATGGACATTTTAAAATTTTTTGTAAGGACCAAAAATCGAAATTGTAAACGACTATCCGTGCTAAATGCTAATCATTGTATCAAATTTATGCATAGTAGATTAACCTTTTGGGTAAACAGACTCTTGTCTTTTAATTTTAAAACTGAACTCATCCCAGGAAAAGAAATGGGATTTACTGACTTATTATCAAGACTTCATTCCGGAAAAGCCCTCCCTAAATAACACTACAACAAATATATTTTGATCGCCACAAATAACAAGATAACAGAAAACTTATTTATAAATACTGATTGTAAAATTAAGAGTTAATTAAAGAAATGTTTGTGATCTGTAATCCAATGGATGCGTACAGAGTAAAAAATATACAGAATTGGGATTGTAAACTTCAAAGGTCCGAAAGAAAGAAAAGTCGCTACACATCCAACGGTCGTTCTTCGCGAACTTTCAAAATTATGTTACAGGTAAAATTCGAAATTGAAATATCAGTCACGCGCGTTCAGGGTCTTGTAAAAGCAGTTGCATTCCGTTAGAACTTTTAAAATCCAATTTTGATCAATTTTTTTATGAGACAAATCCCATTTTTTCTTTCCCCTTCCAACATTATTACCTACTCCTTCGAATTTATTTCCCGAAGTCAAATCTTGGGTGAATTGCATTTCAGTCCTCAATCAATTCCAAAAATTAATAAAAAAATTCAGAAAAACCAAGGGAGTGTTTCAAATTTTGATTATGTCACAAAATCATCTGAAGGTATTTCAAAATGCAAGACAGATTTTAAATTAATTTCGTCCTCACTAGTACTTACGGATCATTGTTCCAATAAGTTGAAACGATTGATGAAAAACGAGGACGAAGACTTATCAGAGGACTGCAAAGCTGTTGAGAACGGAAAACCCTTGGACATTCCAGTGGGACATACTCTTGAAATAGGGAATCTTTTTCGACGATAACAAACTGATTGTCCCAGCAACGCTCAGATATATTTCATAACTCTCTTACATGAAACTCAGCCAGGACTATTTGACATAAAAACGATGGCTGAAGACATCTGGTGGCCTCTCTTGTACCGAGAAATGTACTATAAAAGCCATTAAGAATCTGAAAGTTATTTTGGGAACGGCTAACACGCAAAACATACCGGACTTAATGGAGCCTAATGTAGAAAAGACGTGGACTTCGCCGGTCCATTGGATAAGAAATACAGCCCATTGAAATACTAAAATTATGTATCGATAGACTCACAAAGTTTTCTTCTCCGAAAGTGGTAAAAACACTCCCTTTGTTGACTGACCACTGCGACCTTAACGGATTTCCATGGGTCGTGTTTTACATCAAAAGAATTCCTAAATATCTGCGAGAAGAATCAATTAAATTATTATTGTGTACTGTGGGGGATCATAGATCCAATGGAGTCGTAGAACGTCTAATTTGCACAAAAAAAAGCAATGTCGTTTATCAAGCCGAAACCGTACGGAATTAAGAATCTTTAATTCCGTTCGGTTATAATTCCGTTCGAACGGAAGAGATCTTATATGCTATGATTGATAAAAGTACCTGGAACCTTCGTTCGACAAAACAACCATCCATTGGATGCACGCCTTCCTTAAAACAAGTTAATAGATCTCTTTATACTTTTTTGGAAAGGCCTTGTTTCACACGCGATTGGTTTAGATGAAAGGAAGTCGATGATATCGAAGGCAAGAGCCCAGTACTGGGGGCAGACGACGACAGAGAGGACGGCATACTGAAGATGTAAAACGTGACCAGAATGAATTTTATGAGAGCGACGCATTGGAGAAATCTACCCAAGTCGCACCAAGAGCCCTCTTGTCGAATCCCTTCACCCAAAGAGGAAAGTACTTTAGGAAAACTGTAAATAGAAAAGAAGGCCAACCGTACTTCAAACCACTTGGTGGCAAAGTCTTGTCTGATACTAATTATACGATAACCCTCAATAACTGTCAAGTCCTGAGGAAATCGGATCTTGCTTTCAAGAAAAACAATCCAATGGCTCCAAATAAGTTTACTAGCAAAACGAATATCTTAGTAAAACAGACTGAACTCGAGACTCTAGAAAACCTTTGGATTCTACCTCTTCGAAGAAACAAAAAATGTTGCTCTGTCAATAAGCTTCCTTCTTTTTCAATTAAGAACCATGATCGACTTTAGATCAAGACCATTGGCACATTGTTTTGAATGATTATTTGGGCACATATTCTGGTGTAAAATCAAACTCCCTATCTTTCATGTTTGTAAGTTTATAGGCTCATCAAGATGACAACTTCAATTTCAAAAGATAGCTCCTCAGAGAAGACAGCTGAACCAGCCACTGCTACTACTTCGTGTAGCTATTCGAGACCGAAAAAAAACCTGGCCCTCCCAAACTTTATGGAGAGGGAAGGCTCAACAACGAAGTATCTCCAGTGGCAGCAGTAAATTTGATTGAGGAATCAGATAAGGGGCCTCTAATTTCATTTGTGTCCTCATCCAAGACGCCGTCTAAACTTGCACAGGTAGATTTCAAATGGATTCACCGTCAGCCCTTTTGACCCTAATAGGAGAGTTTCAACCAAAACCAATTTTCGTCGCCGAGACCACAGAATGTTCAACGACAACCCCATTATCCTTGGAACCTCAACTAACCGTGCTATGCTTACCTACCATCGAGACCCAGAACGAAGATAAAGGCCAAGACAGTGATATATCTAGTCTCATCAAAACAGGAACTATAAACTAGGCAGAAAATTTCCCTAAAAACTAATGCACCCTGAAAAAAAAACATTTGAAGTTTACATTCATGTGATATTAAATTTGGCTTTCTCGCTACAATTGGTCCTACTTTTTAGTTAAGTGCATTAAGGACTAAATTTTCTTATCTCACTTGTGGGATAACGTTGCGCTGTTATTAGAACCTCCACATTAGAATTTAATTAAAATTGTTTCATTTATTTATTATTTTACATATACCTATTATTTAAACTTTACATATACATATAGTATCTTTTTTTATTCCACTGTGTATATCATTAGCGAACTGTATGAAGCCGGTTTTTTCTGAAACCATTTTCATCTAAGTAGACATTTGTGCATTATCCTGTAAATTCCATCGTATTGCTGTAAGATAGATGCTTTTTGTTTCAATTTTCGAGGCCTGTGGGTGAAGGGAAAATGGAGTCTGTTTGTGATTTGGCTACTTAGTCATATAGTCAGATATAAATTTTGCCTGCTTTGGGGAAGGTTGTGAGTTGTGTTTTATTTCTTTTAAAAATGACCTCCAGTTATTAATTAGATACCTGTTATTTTGTGTCTAATCGGACACCATTGTAATTCGCGTCATTTGTTGATTTTTAATGAGAAAATTCCATTTTAATTCAACACATTATCTTTTTTTATTCTAGATTAGTTCGTTTTAGTATACCAGTGGTGTTTAAACACTCTTTAAAATGACGCAGTCAACTGATTCGAACTTGCGGCGAATTCCGTCTTTTGGCCAAACCCCACTGTAGAACCCCCATCCAATGGACAAATTGAATTGGTCATTTCCATCTGGCAATCATTGCCAAAAAGAACTTAGACATAGACAATTTGAAGGTTCCATTGGAGTCGAAGACAGAAATCCCATATCTAGAAGGCGCTTAATATTCTGAAATTGAAACACAGAGAGGCCAGAAACAGAGAGTTAATGCGAGTTTACGAAAACGCTGAGGACAGAAGAATCGCGGAGGAAAGCGGGATTTTTAGCGTCATGAGAAGATACGAAGCTGAAATTTTTTTTTTCAGAGCAGTAGGCAGCTGTTATGACCATATGTTTCAAGGTAGGAAATGGCCATTTACTAAATAGTGTATAAATTGTGATCAGGTTGAATGTCCTAAGATTCCCTAGAAAAATGTCCGGATCCTATTATCCATCAACCCACCCCCCCCCCTTTGTACCATAGTGGGGAAATAGTTAACAAGAGCGCTTTCTCCTGTGCTCAAATGGCTTTTATTACTTACTGGACCAAAATTCCCTGGGCTTTGTGACAATCATGAATCCGGTGAGAAAGATGAGAAAGAAGCAATACTGGCTGAGATTAGCATAGTAAACAAATCGGCCGAAAGTGTTCCATTTGTAATGCAGCAGAATAGTCACAAGGGGATGACGCAACAGGTGTTCCGCTTTGCTATTCACCTGAAAAAGTTAGGGGTGCACTTGAAGGCATGCTTTTTGGCCAAAACTTTTTAAGAACTTTAAAAAATTATCACCATTTTTGTGATAAAATAGTAACGCAGACTATTGTCCACAAACTAGAAAATAACTACCACCATATTATGTTCATTTGTTGGTACAAGTGTGATAGAGGGGTCCCCTGAAACCAGCAGGGCCCCTAATGAAAATACAGTGCTTCAAAATTGTTCAGTTTATTGACTCCAGTGATGTCATTTAAGCATTAAAAAAGTTCGCGTAAATGAGCAAGGTTAATTAAACTTGAGAACAAGTCTTGAAAACAATCGATAGGCCTTCGATTGGTTTACTCAACTGCTGTATCATGAATTAGAACACCTCTGTCAAATTTGATTTTCACCGGGACCCTTCTATCACTCTTCCATACTCTAATGTTTTAAAGAACATAGTTTTTTTTTCAATTCATCTGATAAAATAAATAATTTTTATTGCAGAGAAATATTTCCTCTTCTTAGAAATCACTTCAGTTTTTAATGGTCGAAAACAGGGGCGGACTTAGGTTTTTTTTCGACGGAGGGGGGGTGTGGATTTTCAAACTAATTTTTTGCGCCACAGGCGAAGTTTTGAAAAAACAGATAACAGGCCGAAAAAGTGTTTTAAAGCTCTTTTTGGACTGTTTTTACCAAAAACTTGCGTTATTTCATCGCGCGCTTCCTCCTCAAAATTAGCATATTGTCGCCGAAGGCGCATTTACAAAAATTTTAGGTCTTTTCTGTCGAAAATGGAGGTCTTAAAACAGTACCAGAGGGAGACCCTATTCCAAACTAACTTGACTTAACTTATGCGATCGACCAAATCGCAGCTAGTTAGAACAAGGGGTCTTTCTGAATGTTGCTAAGACTTTCCTGTTCTTATTCAACAGACAAAGTTTCTTTCACTCGTAAATAGGTATATTATTTCAAATATAGAGGACACACATCAATTTTATATCAAGAGACATTGGGGTATGGATTTATAGTTATCGAGATAGAGATTTGAGTTTTTGGTTATTAGGATGGTTGGGGGTCTCAGTATGAGAGTGGTTGTGAGATTTTGAGAAAGTGATGAAGTGATATTTGGTATATTTTCGCTTGGCTTATATACCATAGATTTTGATATTTTCAACATTCCATCTGTTGGTTAAACCAATCAGAAAGAAACAACACATGCTGTAATGTTTGCTTTTGGTGATATTTTATCAACCGAGCAAACACGTAATTTCAAGTCAAAAGTTTAAGAATTTATGTTTCTGATTTCAAGTCAGAACATATGATAAAAGTTTAATAATTGTGTTTCTGATTTCAATTCAGAACATCCAACCATCTTATAGGGTGATTGTTAAACGGCGGTACCCGTTGACAAAAAATTTAAAAGCATAATATAATTTACAAAACATCAAAAAAGTTTTAATAGAGTTTGCGTAAAGTTTTTATTCTGATTTTGATAGTTTGTTCGTAAAGTGGCGGCTTGTAGTGTAGTCGGTTGGTAGATGGCTGCTTGTAGTCGGTTGAAGAATGGCTGCGTGTAGTCGGTTGAAGAATGGCTGCGTGTAGTCTATGTGCATGTAGAGTAGAGCAGTGGCGGCGGCCAAATCACAGCTGGATACTTTTGAGAAATATAACATCAAATACAATTTTTCAAATTCGGTTTAGCGAATATACTTATCAGCAATACTAGACTATAATTGTAGAAGCATAGATACTTTGTAAAGTGGCGGCGGCCAAATCACAGTTGGAGTTAAAAAATAAAAAGAACGGAGGTTAATAGATAATCTTGAAACTAATAGTTTCCTTCCACCTGGGTTTTTAGGCTCAGATACTTATTGCTGAGGTCCTTATTTTTTTCCCGGAGCACTGTTATGGTTTTCTGCATTTGATTGATGCGATTTAAGTCGTTTATGTAATTCTTTTGCACTTGATCCGTGTAGGAGTCAAGGATCGGAGTCTGCATTTGGGCAGTTATAAAGGCTGCAGGAACACAAATATGTTGATGGGGGAGTTGTGCATTAACCAGACGGTATGCACCGTTACCGTTTTGGTAAGGGTGATAGGTGTCTATCTTAAATCGGTTAATAAAGGGAGAGAGCGCATAATTTAGACTGGTGTCAAAATTTGGTGGTTTCCTAGGGCTGAGGTTTTGTTCCTTTTTGACTTGAATCGCTATTTTTGATTCAAGTTCTAGAGAGTTTGCGGATTGGTGAACTATTACAGTTTCAGATTCTAGGTTTTTCCTAGTTGAAGAAGAGGGGAAAATTTTGAAAGGTCGGACAATTGCTTTTCTCTTTTGAATGCAATTAGAATTTTTCACTTTTGGAATTTTAAAATTGGTATTCAGTTTTGGTTGATTAATCGGGTTGATTATTTTGGATGGCATTTCCATAGGGTCATTTAGAGACAGAAGGTTTTCGAAATCGAGTAAGTCTTCTTCGAGTGGAGTTTGAAGAAGATCAGTGGGCATATCCTAAAACATAGAATAAATTAGACCGGTACAGCGGGTCGATTATTGTAATCAACTAGTTGGAGTCTAGGATAAATTTTATCCTGATTTTCGTTTTCAGAATCCTCTTGTTGAGGTGCCTGAGGCCTATGATCAAGCTCAATATTTTGATTGTTCTCATTTTGAGCGAATATTGAAGTCACTATAGAGGTGAAAAGTATATTGTAAGAGGCGGCTAACATAATTTTTCCGAAATGAAGAGTTCGGCCGGTTAGTTTGTGTATGTGTAATACTTTTATTACAAATACAAGAGCGTCGAGTATAAACTTGACGAAAAGGAAAGAGGCGAATATTATTCCGCATCTTTCTAAATAGTACTGTATTGTACCAAAAACACGAGTGTACTCGTTCTTCCAAAAATCAGGCGAGATAAGATAATCTAAGTATATGTTTTGCGTAGATCCGTATTGACTACTCGAGTCCGGATAGAAGTGTTTTCTTGCATTAAGAAAAGTTTGGGATACTTTTAGTAAAATACCCTTCATTTCAGAGTGATCAGTAATCATGCTCCAAAATTTTTGCATTTGTGCATATGTGTAAATAGAAGCATCATGACTAGATGCAAGAGAGTGTTTTACTTGCCGTTTAATTTCTTTCGGCTTAAAAAGATCTGGACCTTTTACTCTAGTAATAGAGGGTGTGAGTTCGATCCAAGAATTATCGTTATCAACATCTAGTTGATAAAGATTTAAATGCTTATCGGAGCAGTCTTGTTGATCTGCCGATTTAAAAGTTTGTCGAGTGATTGGGTCGACGAAATGAATTTTTTCGCGATACATAATTGGTATCCGATTATAGCATGCATCCATTAATTGTAATGGAGAATAAAATTTTGGGCAGTGGTAGAGCCAGGCAACATTGCCATTGGTCTCTAAAAACATAGACCTATTTCGGGTCAAAATATAGCCGGCTAAACGCGGGATTTCGATAGAGAGCATTAAAGTATTGAGAATCATGGAGCGTTCTAACTCACATTGATTCGTTAAAAGTGCCAATTCGACAGTTCGAAGAATGTAAAAGCTTCGAAAAAGAATATAATCTAGTTTTGTTCCTAGATGAGCTTCGTAGTCTATTTGTCCCGGTGCAAAGGGATAATTTTCATTTTTTGCGTATTTTACGTAAGTCAAATTTGGTTCCGAATGAATAATTCCTGTATTAGCACTCGGGTTTATTTGTAAACCAGTATCCATATTAAAACCGTTTTGGTATGCTATGAACAATGATTCGTATTGGGTCTGGTAGACTATTTTTGGGTGTCCACATAAAGATTGTGGTTTATTTAGTATTTTTAGCATAAATTGTTGAGTGTCTCTACCTCGAGTATGGTGGTTGGATATTTTAGTAAAAGAGTCTTTTACAATATAATAATTTTCTTCATTTCGAATCATTTTTGCTTCGAATTTATTGAGAACCGAAAAAATGCAGTTTTCGGGCTCGTTCCAAGTATATGCAAAAGGGTCAAGTGATGTTGTTTCACATCCGTTTTCATATACAGGACAAGGTAATGGAATGTTTTGCCAGTTATTAACGGTGCCATCTTTTAGATTGACAGTTAAGGAAATATTTTGCATGTATGATTCGAAAGTATCCAAATGGATTCAAGAACGATCGCTGCATTCGTTGTGGTATTCGCCATCAACTTTGCCTTTATTTGTATTTGTGACGATTTTTTCGTCAAAACGAAAAGGAATATTTTTTGAGTATCCTAAGTTAACATATCCCCATTCGGCGGCGTGTTTACAAGTATCAGGGGAAATGTGTATATCAGTTGTGATTATATTTTGGCGAGCGTCTATTCAGCTTGAATCGAAAGAATCACAAAACCATCGGATAGATTGGTGTTTTATACGACACATTGTCGCGTTAATTTTTGTATTGTAATGCCGTTGGTAAAGAGTAACCTCGGTTGTTGTAGTTTCAATATTTTCAGGTTGTATTTTGCAGGGAGCTACTTTATTAAGTGAGAACATTTTATTCGATGTCATTAGTTGACAATCAAAATGCGCAATTTTTAGATCTTTTGCTGTATTAGCGTAGAGATTGTCCTCTGGGTTAAAAGCGCAGATTTGTTGGGGAAATATTAAAAGAGTCTATATAGCTAACCAAAAAATTTTTTAGTTTTAGACGGCGGCGGAAAATATAATTTATACTTACTTTCAGCAAATCATCGATTACTTGGTCCGTTGATTGATCAAGGTCCATTATTTCACCTTCTTCGAGATCGGTGATTTTAGACATTACTTTTGAAATTTATTGATTTTTGCAATTGCTGAGAAGTATCAGAGGAAGGTTTTGGAGGTTGAGAAGTTTTTGAAAGAATGATTCTGGGCTCATTTTTGCTGGTTTATATAGATCAGTTTCTGATAAAATTTATTTGTTTAAGACAGGTTTTAGCAAAGCCGACTGTTCAGTTATAATTGATATACTATACTGTGCCGTATTTGTTTTTACTGGCACGTGTCTACGGCCGTTGGGAGGGGTTTAGTTTGCAATTTAAGACGATGCTTGAACCGATGCTTGAATCGATCTCTACCATCAGTGAATCTTTTTAGGAAAAGATTTATTAGTTCAGCCCAAGTAGTAGCATTAGCTACTTCATCAGTATACCATTCAAGAGCTGTTTCTGTTAATAGAGATCCAAACAAACTTTTTTGTCTGTGATCATAGTTAGGCTGAGCGCCAACGTCTGTGGGTCGTTGCCCTAATGAGAATACAATTTTATTCTCAACTGCAGTCCAAAAGGCTTTTGCGTTTAGGTCTGAATCATTTCCTGAGAATGATACAAAAGACAAGTTAGGATGGGTGATTGGGTGATCGGCCATCTTACTTTTTTCAAGTTAAGATATCCAATTTAAAGTTTGAAATTTTGAAATTTGATAATTTCAACTTTTGAAATTTTCAGCTTTTTGAAATTTGGATAAATTCAATTTTTGAGTTTTTGATAATTTCAACTTTGTGAAATTTTCAACTTTTTGAAATTTTGATAATTTCAATTTTTGAACTTTTCAACCTTTTGAAATTTTGATAATCTCAATTTTCGAACTTTTCAACTTTTTGAAATTTTTGATAATTTCAACTTTTGAAATTTTCAATTTTTTGAAATTTTGATAATCTCAGTTTTTTGAGATTTTGAAAATTGAGTGAATTTTTGAAACTTGTGTGCCTCACTGGTCGCACCAATTATTCCAAACTAACTTGACTTAACTTATGCGATCGACCAAATCGCAGCTAATTAGAACAAGGGGTCTTTCTGAATGTTGCTAAGACTTTCCTGTTCTTATTCAACAGACAAAGTTTCTTTCACTCGTAAATAGGTATATTATTTCAAATATAGAGGACACACATCAATTTTATATCAAGAGACATTGGGGTATGGATTTATAGTTATCGAGATAGAGATTTGAGATTTTGGTTATTAGGATGGTTGGGGGTCTCAGTATGAGAGTGGTTGTGAGATTTTGAGAAAGTGATGAAGTGATATTTGGTATATTTTCGCTTGGCTTATATACCATAGATTTTGATATTTTCAACATTCCATCTGTTGGTTAAACCAATCAGAAAGAAACAACACATGCTGTAATGTTTGCTTTTGGTGATATTTTATCAACCGAGCAAACACGTAATTTCAAGTCAAAAGTTTAAGAATTTATGTTTCTGATTTCAAGTCAGAACATATGATAAAAGTTTAATAATTGTGTTTCTGATTTCAATTCAGAACAACCCTTCGGTCAGTCAGGGGGTTGAATCACAAATGGGACCCTAAACGCTACTGTTCTAAATTATATAATATGATTGATGAATTGAATGATTGAAAGTATAGCAATTAAATGGATAGAAGCTACTTTTGGTGAACTACATGTATTGAAGTACCATGATGGAAAGAGGGTGGTTTTTAGTGAGAAGTGAGGCTATGTTGGTGTAGGTGTGTGCACTCTCGTTCAGACTCCCGTCGTCCTCATACACCTCGGAGAAGACGGTGGATCCCTTCTCATCCAGAGACATCACATCCTACAGCACAAAACCCACACCACTTAATCAAGTCCAAGCTAAACTTATCATGAAAGCATCACAAAAGCCATTCATCAAAGTGGTCGCTATTTTTATCACAAAACAAGCAGAAAATGTCTCAAAAACTGCATTACTTTAGCGGATTAAATGGCCTAAATGATTATCAAGCAAGACAAATTTCACTCAATCAATTCAAAACCAATATTATGAAAAAGTGCGTAAAATTCGCGGAACGTTTTTTCATTTTTTCACAATTAGGTTTCAGCCAATTAAGCGCTTTAGTTTATTCGAAAGAAAACACTATCAAACTATCATTATACTAATTCAAAAAATTGCGCAAAATAAATCTTCAATGAAAAACTTTTTCACAAAATATGAAATTTCAGCGAGAAAATGTAAGAATTTTTGACTGGTTGTTCGTGAAGAAGTATTCAAGCTCTTTTTTTGTATTAGGCCGTTTTTATCAACTATGTAGCTCCTCTTGCCTGGGTCTCTGCTGCTGCAGCTGCTGTTCCAGGGAGCCCTGCTGCCAATCCAGGGTGGTTGGGGTCATCCACGAGGTCACTGAGGGTGATACCACTTGTCTTCCCATAGGACCATGAACTCATAGAATATGAGTCATCGATGAACTAGAAATTTAAGCAGCTGGAATAGAGTCGTTAAAAAGTTTTAACGCATATTTTTTTTCTGCATTTCTATTTTATTGTGCTTTTATTCCGGAAAAAAATCCTGTGTTCTTACTTTTTTCAATTGTGTTCGGAAAAAAGAAAATCTGAAGTGAAAGTTTTGGGCATGCGACCAATTTTTAACTCGGTGTGAACATTTTATATCTCTTTGACTATTTTCAAATTATCAAAAAAATCGAGCAGATTAAATTTGATTACTTTGTCGTGGCTTTTTGCATAGTTGTCTCACCTCGTACAGGAGTGTCATTTCCAGGTTTTCATCGTCTGCTTTGGCGTTGTTCCACTTGATGCATTTTGAAAACACCTTTAGCGCCTGATCTGCTCAGAACAACAAAATCTCTCAGATGAGTTTCAAATATTTGTCAAAACCTTTCCTTAAAAAGTTGGCTGATTCAGAAAAACCGCAAAGTTGTTCTTTGCAAGTTTTCTCAGCAGGTCGCATCAACAAGACGGCTTTTATATCAGGCGGAGCTCTCCCTGTCACATCATTTCAAAATCAATTGAAAAGCTTTGGTTGCAAAATTGATGAAAAAATTGAAACAGATTTTTTTATGATTTCGCTTATTTCTTCATTTTACCCTCGACACGCTATGTCAAGTACAAAGGTATGTAATTAGCGTCTCGTATCCTATCAATATGACCAAACGACTTGCTTCAATTCACGAACGACTAAATTCTCAGCTTCCGCCTGTTATCAGAACGGAAATTATAGCGCGTTAATTATTCCCAATTGGCCACATAAGCATTTGTTAAGACCCCATTATTTTACGAAAAAAATTACAAGTTTGTACATTTGAGCTTCGCATAACACCCAGGTCAAACAAATCAAAAAACGCTGGTTCATTTCTAAATTCTAGACAATCAACGGAGTTTCATCAGTGATAGTCCAATACTAATCCATGGCTAGAGTTTTCAGAGATGATTCAACCATAACTCATAGGTTTTCAGTGTTGCTTCAGTAATAATTAAATCTTGATTCATGGCTGATTCATATTGGATTCAGCTCTGAAACTAAGGCGCTAATTCAGTGTTGATTCATCGCTCATCCTGGATTAAGTGATACCGATCACAGACTGACAAGGATAACAATCGCTGCGATTTATCTTAGTTCTTTTTTTTCTAGCAACTCAACCAGGGCAATATTTTTAAGATGATGTCAAATTTTTACGGCAAAAATATTCATTAGACATGTGGGAGGTTAAGACAACCATCTCAGAACAAAAAGTTATATTAAAAATCTATTTTTAAAAATGCACTTTCACGCAAAAAAATTCCTCTGCAACCCAACCGACCCAGAAATGCAAAAAGGATAGCTGATTAATGTGCAAGTAGCACAGAAATTTCTGACCACAGTCTTGAAAAATACAATTTTTTGAAATGGGTGTCGTTTTTTTTCTACAGGTTGTGATAAGAAGATCTGAACGAAAAGTAGAATTTAGGCATACTTGAGATAAGTCAATTGGAAAAATAGGTCAATTGGAAAAAAATCGTTTATGAAGAAAGAAAACTAAAACACACCCTAATACAAAGTTCCTCCCCGTTTTAAAAAATTATACATTAACAAGGTTGGCCGGATGTTACGCAAGGTCAGAATTTTTTTAAACTTCTTCAAAATAATGTCGTTTTTGTGAATGGGGTTGATTCGAGAAGTATACATTTGAGTAGAAAATTGGTGATGTAAGCATGCTCGACAACATTTGTTTTCAAAAATTGAGCAACAAACAAAAAAATGGAAAAAAGGCTACAAAAATTTAATTGTTTGCTGCATCATTTCAATTAAAAAAATTTTTTTTGGCTAAAAAAGTGCAAACTCAAACATTCAAAACTATTTTTTTTTCTATTTTAGATCAAGTTTATCACCAGAAAAGTTTAAAAAAGAGTAAATTGCCATCTGAAGACCGGTATTTGAAATTAGACAAAATCTTAGAAGTTCAGAAAATTTTTTCTCAATACTGCGACAAACTATTGAAAAATTATTATATTCCGATGTTTATCTGTGGTACTTGATTTAACGTGTAAAACAAAAAAAAAAACAAAAACTGAAACACTCCCGAATACTATGTTCCTCCCCATTTTCAAAACTCGAAACTAAAACCGACAACTTGTTCTTTGGAATTCAAAACGATTTGTTCTTTTTATTTTAGAACTTTGAGAGTTATTAACCAAATCCAGAAACTCAAATTTTGAAC